AAAAAAAAAATTGTACAATCACTTTGTTTTCTTTTCTTTTATAGATGACTTACAATCACACATATGTACGAATGGACGCATCGCTTCATCGAATAGTCGCAACTCTTTTGGATTAACTTCTATCAACAAACACTTCAACCCGAATAGTCGTGTCACATAAAAATTTGAAAGACAACGTAGGTATGTATTAAAAAGTATAGATAATACCAACATCAAAACCAATATGACTAGAAGAATTAATAGCTCTGATGGCAAATGAATCTTGACAACAGACAACTCATCAAGAAAAGCAGTATGCAAATCAACAGAATCATGCCCAGAGAAATCAAAAGACCAATGCAACACTAAACCCAAAAAGGGATCAACAAACATTAGCAAAGATAGTTACTTTGTGAATTAGGAAAAGACTCTTGAAAAGTAACATATTTGGAAGTGAAAAACATATTCTAAGCTATATAAAAGAGGTGTGATAACCCTTCATTCTTGAAGGATAGCCGATAAACACAGTTGTGATGGCTTGAAGATTAAACTTGGATCGTCCTGCAAAGAGAGTGGAGACAAAACATAGGCAACCAAAAACAATTTCCATCATAGGAATTTTTAGAAAACAAGATTCAAAAAAGGAAAAAAAAAATTGATTTTTTTTAATTTTAGAAATATATTGAATACTTTTAAAAATGTCAATTTCTTAGGAGAAAATGTGTCACAAGGCTAAAATCCCCATAACATTTTTTGCCCCATGTGGCCTAAGGACACAACCTTAGTACAGGCTAAGACATGTAGACAGCATGTAGGCCCACGGGCGACCAAATGACCGATGCGCATAGGTGGGCATGCATGGGTGGCCGAGGTAAAGGAGCATGCAGGCGGGCGGTGTGTAAGGTAGTCGTGCGCAGGTGATGGCAAGCGTCGGGCACGCGCGCCCCAGGCAAGTAGGCTGCTAGGCGCACGCGAGGGCGGGTGACCAGGAGTAACGAGCACGCGCAACACACGGTGGGCGTAAGCGTGCGTGTACGTGTAGGACGGTGCGGGGCTCGTGTAGGCAGACACGAGGCAACGACATGTTTTTATACAAGTTGTGTAGACGTAACATTTCCTATAGTGGGATAAGTCATGGGTGCTAAATTTAGGAATGCCTAAATTTAGCAACCCTATATTTAGGAGGAGGAGTGGAGTTGTGATTCACATTCTACCCTAACATCCATTTAGTGGGAGGTTATCTAACTACTTGCAGTGCACTCCAAGTAAGCTAAAGTTGAAGTGTCTAAAAATAGGTAGGTTGTTGCATGTATAAAAGGATAGCTTGAGGAGTGTTCAAGCATCCTTGAAAACCCATTCCATTCTTACACATTACACATTGTATCTCTTTGTCGAGGAAGCTTAATAAAGTGAGCTAAGAAAATTGGGGGCGCTGCCCCCTCCAACTTTGTGTGTTTTGTTATGTTTTGCTTTATTCCGCAATCTTATCTTCTATTGTGTCTAGATATGGGAATTAAAGGTGTTAGGTTGTACTAAGGTGGTGTCCTTAGGCCGCATGGGGCGAAAAATTTTATGGGGATTTTAGCCTTGTGACAGAATGATTTTATAAAGATGTTATTTTTTAATATTTTTTTAGCAAAATTTCTATAAAAGAAGATCAAAAAAATGAAATATATTTTTATTTTTGAAAGAAAAGATCTTTATTTGCTTCAAAATTATCTTTTAAAAAAATAACACGATTTTGCATTAGTAAATTATTTTTGGGTAAATTGTAAAAACCACCCCTGAAGTATGGTGGTTGTTACACCCTTAAACTTTCAATTGTAAAAATTAAACCCTCGAACTTCTATAAATGAAAAAATTAAACCCTCAAACTTTCAATAGTAAAAATTAAACTCCTAAACTTTCACACGTGATAAAATTGCACCTTCTAATTTGAAAGTGTGAATGAGATATGATCACCTTTTGAAAAACTTGTTATTCTAACCTTTTGTTGAGTTACCATCCCATGAAATTACTTTTTCGTTGCTCATTTATTTTTTCTTCCTACACAATATAATTTCCCTCTTTTTCGTTGTTGTCACTTTTCTTCTTTATCTTCGCTTCATCTTTATTATTTATGTTTCATCTTCTACCGTCACTATTTTTTTTTTATAAAAATTGAAAATCAAAATTTTCAATTGATTTTTTTGTTCGTTTTTTTCTAAATTCAAATTCAAAATCTTCAATTAAAATTTTATAAAATTAGTATTACTAACTAATTTTATTTACGAAATAATTCCCTCCCTCAAATCACAAGCCCACAGCCAAAGCGAGCATAGTTCAACGGTAATTGACATATATTTCTAACCAAGAAGTTGTGAATTCGATCCCCTACATGTTGTATTTAAAAAAAAAAATACAAGCCCACAAAATCTACTTCATAATCAACCACCGATTCTTTTTCATGCACCCTCACTTCATAATCTAAAAAAGTTGAAAGAACTTGAGATTGAGATTATTATTTTTATAGTTTTTTTTTATCAATATGATATATACAAGAATCATTATCACTCAAATATTTCAATCTCCAAATTTTTTTTCCTTTTTTGGTTTGAATTTAATTTTTTTTCTCTGTTGAGTTCTATTATTTTATTATATTTTTATTTATTATTTCTTCCTCAATTTTTTTTAGGGAAATAAAATCAAAATCTTAGCTTTCCGTGTCTCTAGTGCTACACTCGATCTCTCCCTCTCTCTACCGCTCATCCACCTCCCTTTTCCCTGTCGCTCCCTCCCCCTCCCCCCTTGTCTCATCGATTTGACTCCTCGTTTGCGATCTCGATTTCTCCTTCGCTTGCAGATTTTCGTCTACCAAAATCTCGATTTCTCTCTCTTCTCACTTCCTTCCACTGAAAATCTCGAGTTCACTTTTCACTCCTCTCTCAAATTTTTCTTAATATTTTTATTTTTGTTTTTCTATCCTCTCTCTCTCTAGTATCACTCAATCACTCCTTTTCTTTTTCTCGCCTCTCTCTAGTTTCGCTTCATTGCTCCACCTCTCTTCTATCGCTCAATCACTCTTGCCTCTCTCTATCGTTGGCAAATTTCCCCAATTATCTCGCTGACGTAGGTGAATTTTTCCTATTATCTCGCTAGTGCTGGCCAATGATTAACGGAGATGAGAAATATGGAGATTTTGAAAAACAAAATACAAAATTAGAGAACAAATTTGAAAGAGAAAAATAAAGTATAAGAGAAATTTTTTGAAAGAGAGAGTTAAAGGAATTAGACTTTGGGAAAAATTTTAACTAGAAGATAAAAAGTTAATTAAAATATAAAAATAAATAATTGAGTTGGAAAAAAATTGAGAGAGAAAACCAAGGAAAAATTGGTGACAACTAATTGAAGAGAGAAGTGATGTAATTTGAGGGAGATGGTGGAGTGATAAGTAATTTCACGTGATAATGATGTAATACGAGTTCAGAATAACAAAATTTTAAAAATTTTGACATATCTCATAATTACCACTCCTAAATTTAGATGAGTTGGGGGAATAATACTTCGTCATACTCTTTATCCAAATGATCAATAGAGTTGGAAAAGAAAAGAAACAACTTCACTGCGTTCTCGGAAGGGTGACCCAATCGATGATGCTGTAACTCCAATGACTTCCAACTAGAGACTAAAACGACTTGCATTGTAAGATTTTGACGCATATAAAGTCCATCCCTTTGCTTGCTTGTACTAATCGTCTCCCTCGAACGTTGGTCCTATATAACAGAGAAGTTATAATTAAATCGTTACCCCTCGAACATTGGTCCTATATAACAGAAAAGTTAGAATTAAATTGGATAAAACAATGAAGCTCAACATTTAATTGTGAAACTTGGAATTACACTTTAATGGAGGGACAAAGAGAATGTTATGCAGTATTATAGAGTCCGTCAGTTGCACAATGCCTGCCTGAGTAGCAATCACAGTTTGTCCATCAAAAAGACCTGCAGGACAAGATAAAACCGCTTGAACATCCAATAAACCAGATTCATTACAAGAAAATGCGTTATTTTCTCGACACAACCACAGTTGTCGGGCAAACATCTTGTTCTTAACTAAATAAAAATAATTGGGACTTTGACCGACAATTTCTTAAACCAGTAAAAAAAGGTATACATCTCACTACTATTTAAAATTGTCGAACTATATTGTCCGTTAATATATTTTTTTAAATAATATAACTCTGGACTATGTTTAAGATAATCGAAAAAAGTTACCCTTGCCGATAATTTACAAAAAGAGTCAGGTAAAATTGACTTTATTCGACTGTTTTAACAAACCGTCGGTGAATATTGTTCTTAAGTTTTATTTTTATATATTACAAATGCTGATTTTTTTTTAGAAATAGTTGGGAGAAGTTAATAATTTCGACTATTTAAATGAACAGTCGGCAATATTGTTTTAATTTTTTTTAAATATTATAACTCCCGACTATTTTTAGGAAAAGTTAATATTCCCGACATTAGTAAAAGGTCGGTGATATTTTATTTATTTATTTTTAATATTACAACTCCCGTCTATTTTAAATGAACCATCGGAAGAAGTTGAATATTTAAATGAACCATCGGCAATATTGTTTTAATTTTTTTTTGAATATTATAACTCCCGACTATTTTAAAATGATTGGGAGAACTTAAACTTCCTGATCGTAGTAAAGGGTCGGTGATATTTTTTTCAAAATATTACGTCTCTCGACTATTTAAAAAAATAGTCGGGAGAAATTAATTTCCAACACTTTAAAAAAACAATCGTGATACTTTATTGTTAAAAGAATTATTAAAAACTTTATCCGACTATTCTTAACCCAGTCCGAAAAGTTTTATTTCGTTTGTTAAACAGTCGGGAAAGGCTTTTAAAATTTATTTTATTATTATTATTTCTGTTTTTTCTGTAAGTAATAACTAAACTAAAGGTTGTTTTAATTTTGTTTAAATAATAAATAAAACCCCTAACTCAAACCCTCATCCCTCCCTGTTCTCTCCCTCGCTCGTCGCTCTCTCGCCCGCGCCGTCGCACGCTCGTCCGCCGCCGTCGCGCAGCCCCGCCGCTCTGCCGTCCGTCGTCCAGGCGCGCCGCCCCTCCAATCCCCCATTCCTTCTTCCTTCTTCTTTCTTCCTCTTCGTCGTCCAGGTACTTAGGTTATGGCATTTTATCTCATACTGACCACTGATCAAAATTTTGACGGCTCTTTAATTTTTTAAAAACTTAAAAAATTAATCTTTCTTTTTGCATTTCACTCTCCTACTCTAAAAAATATAAGGGTAATTAGTAAGAGATAAGAGATGTTCAGCACCTGAATACTATTCTTGTAATACAAAAATATAGCTTTAGCTTATTATAGCCCAGTTTTCTCATTGATTCCATTGATCCATATGGACAAAACCTATTCAACGTTTGCCTAAAACCAAAAGAAGGAAACTAACCAAAGAACGAAACATAATAAACATAAATAGAACAAATAAGAAATATCCATATCGTATCAAGTAGGATATTGTAAGAAGTTCTATTAGTTTCATTGCCTAAGCTATTGCATTTTTGTAGAAAAGAAATATGGTGCGTTCTAAAGCACCCTCAAAGAAGCAGCAAAAACGTGGAATTGATTTCAAGGTACATCTTACTTAAACAGCATTACACTTCCTAGTTCAGTGGCATATTTTTGTTTTAATTATTAATGTTTTTTTACTACAGAAAATCAAACGAAAGATAGGCAGGAAACTGCCACCGCCAAAGAATGCTACAAATACTGAAATTAAATCAAAAGGTAAGTCTTAAAAAGGGGAAAAAAAATCTTTTTAGTTACATAGAAGGTCCAATATTTTTGTTGTTGCCAGAGAGAGTTTAATCATTCGCATTATGACAGCTATTATTTTGCCCGAGCAAAGCGTGGCCTCAGAGAAGGCAGGTTTAGCAGTGAACAAAAAAGGTTTGACTTTGAAAGAGCTACTTCAGCAAACATCCCACTACAATGCTAAGGTTCGAAAAGGTATAATCTCAATTTATGGATTCTCATATTGATAGGGTGAACAGAGTTTAATTCTTGTTTGTTTGTATGGATTACACATGAAGATGTTTATTTGATTGCTCTACATTATGTTGTAATGAAACTTAAGCTTTGGCATAAGAGGCTTGGTTTAATGCATCTTGATAAATTGTATGATGGCTGTTTCTGGAAAGATTTTTCCCCATTGATGCTAGAGTGGGAGCCTAAATTATTTAATCCTGATGCTTGAGGCAACGAATATGTTCAACTATTAGGTTCCTTTATTTATTATTTGGCCTCTATTCTTATCATCTACCCTTCTTTGTGAGTCAATAGGTGCTCTGCTGGGCATTAGAGATTTATTCTCTAAACACCCTGCGGAGTTAAGGTTACATCGCTATGCGGTTATTGAGAAACTGCGTGAACGGATTGATGATAGTGATAAAGTAGTTCGCGAGACACTATATCAGCTTCTGAAGTCGGTTATCTTCCCTGGTTGTAAAGAGGTAACTTTATTGTTCTTTGAGTTAAATTAACTAAGCTAATGTACTTATGCTTTTCACAAAGAAATACATGTTAAGAACATTTTCTTTACTAGCACTAGCATGTTGGGTTGAGAGATCACCTAGTTATGCATTTTTTGGAAAAACTTATATGTAGAAAGATATGAGAGTAACTCCTTCTTCCATGTCTTGAACTCCCTATCTTGAACTCCCTACGTTCTTCTTCTTCTTCTTCTTCCTCTTCCCCGGTGATCCCTTGGTTTACCTCCCTTTGGAAGATTAAAATTCCAAAGAAGATTAAGTTCTTTGGGTGGCAAGTCTTACATGGAAAAGTCAATACCATGGATCGTATTCAAATGATGTCTTCCTTTTGTCTGGGTCCACAGTGGTGTGTTCTTTGTAGGAGTGCTTCGGAAGATCTCGAGCATTTGTTGTGGACCTGTCAGTTCGTGCAGGATTTATGGCTTCGGTTCTTTAGATGTTTTGGGATTGTCTGGGTCCGTTCCAGAGATTGTAGGGCGATGATGGAGGAAATGCTGTTATTCCCCCTTTTCGCAACAGGGGTCGTTTTCTTTGGTAGGCGGCTACTTTATGGGGGTCGGTCACTAAGGCCTATTGTAAATATCAATTAGGTCTCATTCTTTTGGATTGAAGCCCTTTTCTTTAGGGGTTACCTATTGAAGCCCTTTTCTTTAGGAGTTACCTATTGTAGGGCTGTTTTTTCGTATGTCCTCCTTGTTTTGTATCCATTTTTTTTCTCTCAATGAAAGCGCAGTTTCTTATTAAAAAAAGATATGAGAGACCATTGGTTGGTGATTTGAAGTCACCATGATCATCTTCCTCTTTACCACCAACCCTGCCCCACCATCTTCTTCGACTTCATGTCGAATATAAGCTTATGTATGGTACACCATGGCCAGTAAACTCGCGTCTTCTAAAACATCAGTCACGATTGAAAAGAAATAATTCTCGGTAGAAGTTGGCCATAGATATAGAGGTAGTCGCATCAAAATCTATGAGACCTCAAAAGATGAGTCCTTCATCTCTACTCATTGGTAATCTTTAACATGGATTGCTACCTATTTCTTCTCCCTTTTATTTGTCTCGATAAACCAAAGATTCTTTAGAGAGAAACAGATTGATGACTAGACCCTTTGGGTTGAAAAATCTTCTAATAGAAAATGAACTATTGCAGAAATTGCAAGACTGGACAATAATGAGAGCATTAACAAAATACTAGCCCCCGTGGGTGAAGAAAGAAGAGGTTGGTTCTCCTCTTATAATATCATTAAAGATTTCACACCAAACCCAAAGAAAGAAAATTTTATTGCTGCAACACAGGTCAGTCAACAACTCAAGCCATCTATCTCGTACTATGAAGTCCTAAAAAAGGATGAAAGTCTCCAAAAGGGAGAAATAATGAACCAGACAAGTTTAATGAAGGCCGTTGAGAGGATTGGCACATCCACATCCACATCCACAAACCCACACGCAGACCCGAACCTTGACTCATCCATTATTGTTTTAAGGAAACACTTCCATGATGACTGGTTGAAAATTATGAGGGTTCTACAAGAACACATTAGCTATTTCTGCTCTCTCAACCCTTTCGCGGCTGACAGAGCCCTATTACGTTGCAAAGGAATTGAACAAGCCCAGATTCTCACCAATCTAAAGGACTGGTACCAAGTGGGTAAATACCATCTTAAATGGTACCAAGTGGGTAAATACCATCTTAAATGTTTACCATGGGACAGTCTTGCCTTCTATGAAGCTCATGTGGTTCCATCATATGGAGGATGGATCAAAATCAGGTACTTACCCTTGATTGATGAACTAAAGACGATTTGCGATTTATTGGAAATTAATGCAGAGGTTTCCTTGAAACATCGAAGAAGACCCTTTCACGGCTGGACCTCCTAGAGGCAACTATTCGTGTCGAGAAAAACTCGTATAGATTTATCCCGGCCATTGTTCATCTAAACTCCGACGGAAAAGAGGTGCGTGGTCCATATAGATCCTTTTTTCTCCGGTGGAAATTACATTGGATTTTTGGCCAGAATCCATGGTGTTCGATCATCGAAGAGCCCCTCACACATGCCCAAAGAAGAAAGGTGATGGCCTTCTTTGGCCATACCCTTGAGTTTTGCCACCTGACAATAGCTGCTGCCATGTTACAAACTCCCAGCAGCCTTACATTGCAAACCCAATGACACCAATAGACCTAATTAATGATAATTAATGAGCTAGTTGAACATATCACAGCTCCTGTCACCTTGCTTTTGAGAAAAAGTGACCAAAGCTCAAAAGGGAAGGAACCCATTGAAGAGAGCCACGTAATAGACCAAAACCTTTGCTCCCTCTACCCCACTTTGTCTCCCCCTATCGTCGTACCTAATCATTCGGCCCTCCCTCAAACATCTACTTACTCCCATACACATCAAAACAATCTCTTATTCCCTTTGCCTGACCCCTGCTAGGTACACCACAAACCAAAAAGAGCCGTTAAGATAGAGACAAAAAATGCCTTTCTTGTACTGGCACAAAATTTTCCACCAATACACTTCACTCGGAACCAGAGACCGATAATCCCTTTTCTAGTCCCTATCCAACATCACACGCCTATCTCCTCCAATCTTACCCTCATCTATCTCCCATCTTGTGACAATCTCCTGCTTCTAGCCCCCCGTAATTTCTGACTCATTGGCACTGGAAGTTCTTGATGACAGACAAGCGAAAGACATCTTTTATGGGAGGAGCTCCAAGGCCTCTCTAAGCTTTGCTCCGATTTTTGGCTCCTAGGGTGTGACTTCAACATCACCAGATGGTCTCAAGAAAAATCCCAACAACGGAGACCTATCTATAACATGCGTCTCTTCAATGAGTTTATTGCAGAAAATGATCTCAGGAACCTGCCGCCAACCAATGGTCTCTTCACATGGTCCAACATGAGGGAGTCATCTTCTCTTTCCCTTATTGACAGGTTCTTATGTAATGATTCTTTTTTCTCTAAGTTCCCTAATGCCTTGGTGAAACGTTTGGACAGGAAAACTTCATATCACTATCCCATATAGTTATCTTTGGTCATAAACCAATGGGGTCCTTCTCCCTTCCATTTTGAAAACACGTGGATGCATCATTCTTCCTTCTCCCCATGGTGGAACGATGGTGGCAAACAAACCCTCTAGAAGGATGGCCTGGCCATGACTTCGTCCAGAAGTTAAAGGGCCTCAAAGCGGTTGTTCAATCTTGGAAGAAAGAGATCTTTGGCTGCATCCTAAGGATTTAGCTGCTCTTAACTCAAAGAGGAGATGGGGTCTATTCATCCTGAACAGATTCTCCAATGGTCTTCCCTTAAAGCACAACTCCTCTCTTTAGCTGTCAAAGAGGAAGCACATTGGAGGCTGCAGTGCAAGGTTAAATGGCTTAAAGAAGGGGACGTGAACTCGGTTTCTTTCACAGGTTGGTAGCGGCCAGGTGTAGAAAAAGTACCATTTTGGAGGTCTCTCCTAAGATGGTGGTAGTATGACGAAAGACAAAGACATTGAACAAATTCATATTTTTTTTTTGAAAATCTCTACGCAAAGTAGGAAGGTATTAGATTTCTCCCTCACCCTCTTAATTGGGACCCATCATCCCTTGACAGAAAGCTCTACTTGAATCTCCTTTTACAGAATTTGAAATTTGGCTAGTAGTTAAGGAGTTGGGATACAACAAAAACGTTGGGCCCCGATGGATATACAGTAGAATTCTACAAAAATGTTTTGGAACATTTTCAAGGCCGATATTCTTAGAGTGCTCCAAGATTTTTTTTAGAAAGGAATTGTGAATGCCAGCCTACATGAGACATATATCTTCTTAATCCCGAAATAGACGGATGCCCGATCGGTCAGTGACTTCCGTTCCATTAACTTGATTTCTTGTATGTACAAGATCATAGCTAGAGTGAAAGATTAAAGAAGGTTCTGCCGTTTACAATCACCCTTCAACAATCCGCTTTCGTGGCTCATCGTCAAATTTTAGATGCTTCTTTAATTGCAAATGAGCTCATCGATGAATGTTTCCAGAAAAAGGAAAATCAGGTGGTTATAAAGCTAGACATTGATAAGGCCTTTGACAAGGTGGACTGGGACTTTTTGATGGTATTTTAGAAGCAAAAGGTTTTTGACATTGATGGCAATGGCAAAAATGGATCAGGGGATGCATTTCCTCCACCAATTTCTCTATTATCATCAATGGGAAGCCTCGAGGCAAGCTAAGAGCATTTAGAGGTCTAAGGCAACGAGACCCCTGTCACCTTTCCTCTTTATCCTTGTAGTGGATTGTTTTAGTAGGCTCCTCACCCTTGCAGCAGTATCCAATTCGATAAAGGGTCTCACAGTAGGTTCTGGCTAATTGGAGATACACCATCTCCAATTTGCAGATGATGGAAGCTGCCCATCTTACAAACCTGTTTTCCATCATTAAGATCTTTGAAGAAGCATCTAGGCTGAATTCTAACCTTCACAAGACTGAAATGATGGGAATAAACTTGGTGGACAGAGAGCTGGATCTCTTGGCAAATCGGTTTGTTTGTAAAAGAGCATCTTGGCCCAATTCATACCTTGGTCTCCCCTTCAATGGTAAACCTCATTCGACATCCTTTTGGGACCCCATTTTGGAAAAAATAAGGAAAAAGTTTAGCTCATGGGAAAATTCTCTTATCTCAAAAGGAGATAGGCTCACCCTCCTTCAAGCTACACTATCCAATCTCCCTATATATTATCTCTCTCTCTTTCCCATCCCATCAAAGGTGGCAAATGAATTGGAGAAAATGATGAGAACTTTCTTTGGAAAGGAAACAACACCAACAGGGGCCAACATCTTGGTGTGTTCTTTGTAAACAATATGACGAATCCTTGGGGCACATTTTCGTTTCATGCAACTTCTCATCCAAACTATGGGTTTGATCTCTTATCATCTTTTGGATGGCCAAGCTTCTTCCATCAGACATACACTCTCCCTTATCTACTGCTCTCACGGGTCACCCATTTTCTAACGAAGCAAAGGTTCTCTGGATGCATTTTGTGTGTGCCATGCTGTGGTCGATCTGGTTGGAAAGAAACCGTAGGATCTTTCAAGGAAAAGAGCTATTTACCAAAAGCCTTTTTGAATCTATAGTGTCTATGGTGGTACCGTGGTTCCAATGTTCTCCTATATTTCAAAACTATAGTTTTGTCCTCTTTTAACCAATTGGAGAGCTTTTTTGTAACTCCTTTGGTTTGGGCTGTGTTCCCCCTTTTTTTATATCTCTCTCTTTTCATTTCATTACATTAATGAATCGTTTCTCATTCAAAAAAAGAAAGAAAGAAAGGTATGAGAGTCTTGTTGGGATCTTGGTAGATATTTGCTATATGGTTTCCTTTGTCGATCACTGATTCAACCATCTAGTGTAATTTATTCTTTTAATTGAAATCACATTATTCTTCTTATAAGAAATATGAACTGCTTTTCATTAACTTCATGTGTATGTTCTAATGTTGTTTTTTGTCATTTAATAGGAGGAAAATCAAGGACTCTTCATTTCCTTACTGATGGGTTATATTTTCAATGCAATGACTCACTTATCCATTGATGTTCGGATGATGGCTTTCAGATTTTTTGAACTTGTTGTGGAGTACTTCCCTTCTTCATTTTTCTTGCATGCTGATAAGGTACTTATCTTTGCTTGTATATTAGTTTCCATTTTGGGAGGAAAAAATTTCCATGATAAATTAAATTTGCACAAGAGGCATAGGCCTAAGAGGCAAATGGGTTAAAAAAATGCTTCTACAGTTGGCTACAATCATAGAAAGAGAGAAAGAGGGGGTAATTACAAAATGATTGCATGAACGCTCAAGAGGAGGCTATTTAAATAAATAATTAAACCCAAATATCAACCCAAGAGTTTCCTCCTTCTGTGGATCGAAAGGAAGTGCGGCTCTCCATAATTGAACAACCTTTGTTAAAAAAAAGTAGCTTCTACTTATCTTCTTTCTTATAAGAAGTAGCTTCTACTTATCTTCTTTCTTATAAGAATGCATATTTTACTGACAATAGTTTGCATGATTTCAACATTTTCATCCTTAAAGCAAGCCCTCAAACTCAATTTTCCGAATAACTATAGAATTTCCCTTATTAGACAGTAGATCTGATAATTTGTTGAGAATTCACTTCTCATTTTCCTCAAACCTATAGAAAATCGAAAAATTTGGCTCAGCGATGAGAACCCTTGATTTTGAACAGCTCCTACCTCTTGTAAAACCAAATTGTAAGACTTTCTGATCAGTCCTAATTTGAGCACCCATGCCAATAACCACGTTTGAAGTGTTCAAAAAAAAAAAATTTAATGCCATTATTCTAAGTGGAGATACAGCTTGCAAGAGAGTATGAAAAGGTAGGATAGTTGTGAAACTTCCTTAAGACAAGCAGAAGAGTATATCATCTGTGTCCATTATTTACTTTTTTGGTGTCATCGCTATTGGTTGTTGGCATTTTGTTTTAATGTTCCCATTGTTTTCTTCATTTTCAGATTCTTCAAAACCATGTGGAAATTCTACAAAAGAATCAATTCTATCTACAAGATAAAGGCAAGCTCAAGAATGCTCTTACTGGGTTGGTCCAATGCTTATCATTATTGCCATGCAACAAAAGAGAAATTGGCTCATCTAAAAATGTACTGCGTAAAGAAAAAAATCTCTCAGTTTTGTTAGTTTATTCAATTATTTTCTATTAAGACATATTTTTGTTTACAATTTTTGAAATGTAAGTTGATTATTTGTGATTTTTGTTCATAGAGCCCTTTAATTTAACACAATTTTCCTTTTATTATAGAATGTCGTGGACGAAGGGATGCTGCATGCTTTTGAGTCTCATGTGCCTACAGAATCTACTGGTATGTGAAAGGAGAGTCCATTTGTTGGTGTTTGTGCTTGTTACATTCTCTCTCTCTTTCTCATCAATAACCATTTTGTTATTTTTGATAAAATACAACTTTTGTTAAGGAAATGAAAGAACAATAAAACAAGGAGAGTCCCACAAAAGTAAGGGCCCAACAAAAACAGGGGAACAACCTCAAAACAGTCGTCAATAACTATTAATCACAATAAGATATAGTAAAGGAGGATAAAGTATTGTAGCCAAAAGATAAAAAACCCTTTACAACTTGTCAACTTCTTTACAACTTTTGTAATTATTAGTTAGGTTTTACTCTTTTGGATTGGAGGCCCTTTCTTTAGGTGGTGCTCCTTCTTGTGGGTTGGTTTTTTGTATGTCATGTGCTTTTGTTTTCATTGGTCTCAATGAAAGTTCAGTTTCTTTTAAAAAGCAAGATCCTTTTCAATTAATTTGTAAGATTTGGTTACTTTTAGCTTTGAATAAAAAACAATATCATAGATGGCATGAAATTTCGAAGGGGGGAATCCCGATCCAAAGGGAGTTTTCAAAGACTTCTCCAATTGGAAAAAGAGAATGAAAATCTATAGTAGTGAAAAATGGTTGGGCATTTACGCCAAGTTACAACAAAAAAAACTATAGCACTAAAAATAACTTTAGCCTTTTACCTTATTGAGTCCAATTGACTCGTTTGGACGTCTGAAAGTATTGGAAGGGAAATATTCACATTCCTTTCTCAGAAATGGTTATTACATTGTTGGCCCGTAAGCAGGAACCTAGCTAAATTAGAAAGACAATAATCCATCTAGGATGATTTCTAACCTAGGGCAAGTGCAAATATGCATGAAAAATAGGGTGAGAATACAAGGAAGAAAAGAATTCAGAGATGTGAATAGGTAACATCTACTTCCCAGAATCAGAGGAAAGTAAATCTGCTTTCTTTGCCAACAAATATTATGTAACATATCATCCTGCTGCATAATGAAAGTGAATCCGGCATCAGTGCACTCCTTTTGTTTCAGGCTTTTCTTGTCATGTCCACTTTGTTGTTCTTTTGTTCTTTTATTCTTCTTAATAAAGTTAGGTTTCTCCTTAGAAAAATAGAACTTTAGCATGAAGGAACTGGAAAGTATTGATTGTGTGTCGTATTAAGATAATAAGTTTCTTGTTTGAAATCATTTTCTATGTGGTATTGGAAATTCTGGTCTTCATTTCTTTTATTGCCTGCTTATCACTAAACCATCTAATCTGATATTTTTTCTGTATCTTTGTTGTTTCTGTTCAGGGACTTGTGTCATTATTGAGAAATTAGAGGATTTGGTGCTTGTGTTATTAAATTGTTTCCAAGAGTTCATGCCGGTGGTTCATGATGTAACACTTCTTAATGCACAAATATATGACTGTATGCTATATGTTGTTCAAAGCATACATCTTGCAGTTCAGTATTTCCTTTATGGGAGTGAAAAAGGTAAAGTGGAATCACATTCTCCTTGTAAAGGATTTGACATGCGGTTGGAGGGGACAATTTCGTCAGCATTGTTAAAGAAATTGTTTTCCGTGTTTCCCCTCAATCCATCGCATCATGTCTCGGAGAAGGTAAACTAAGATCATTATGTTTGATCCCAAATGATAACGTCTTGTATTTTCATTTCCTTTTATTGAAATGAACCTTTGACTTGTTTCAAATTTACCACTTTTTCTTCTTAATAACTATTACTTTTTGTAACCATCATGGGATGACCCAAGTGGTCAGTGAGGGCCAATGTAAATAGCAAAGGACTTAGAGGGAATGAGTTCAAACCATGGTGGCCACCTATCTAGGATTTATATCCTACAAGTTTTTTTGTCAACCAAATGTAGTAATGTTAGGCGGTTGGCTTGTGAATAGTTGAGGTGTGCGCAAGCTGGCCCGGACACATGGATATCAAAAAAAAAAAAATTACTTTTTGTGTGTTTAGTAGTGTTTTTCAGTAGAAAATAAAGTTTGTAACTTGGAGAGACCTTTTGCTTCAAAATACTCTCGCTCAAAATAGACTTGCTTCCTTAGTGAACCTCAACGAGTTTGTTGTGGAAATTCATTATTTTCAATCATGTGCCTTCTAAAAACTTGTCATGATTGAAATGATTTAAAATGACACCACTCAAACCACATACTGTTATGCAAAAAAGATTTCTCTAACATGTGATTCAAACGAAAAGTTGATTACGATCTTAAAGCATTTTTATTACACTCTGAAAGTGCTAGGTTTCTTGTTTGTGTGCATCCTACATTAAATCGAAGAACCAATATGTCATGACCTTTCAAAATTAATGATTCTATTGTTTTGTTTATGTCTGACAGGACGACGACAGATTACTTACGCTGAACATCGTCATTACGGAGATATTTTTGCATTCAAGCAAGCGTATTAAACCTTCAAATGTGATATTGGAGAGATTTCTAGAATTTATAGAAAGTGTTATGCTTGGAAAGGTAATAATTCTCAGACCATATTTCAAGGATTTATTTTTCATAAAATCGCTAGAGGAAGTTTTAGCTGTATATTATCTATAACTTGTTGGCACATCTCCATCTAAATTTCACGGGGGGCGTGTTTCCAGTATCTAGTAAGGTATAATACTTTGAAATTTTTCGGTGATCAGGTATTACTTCAAGTATCATTAATTCTTATCACCTTAAGGCTGATGTCTTTTGTATCAAGATGATGTCCAAAGAATGATACTTGTTACCCATAATAGTACCCACCTTCATGAATTCTATCATGTTTATTTGGCAATTAACGATATATATTTTTTTCTGGATCAGAATATGTTTGGGTATTTTTGAGTGTACGATTTATTTTTCTGGTTGGTACTTTGGGGTGAGTGGTGGATTGTTGATTCTTGGGTTGTCGTTCTCTAAGTATAACGTGTTAATTTGCAGACTGTCAATGGCACTCAATTTGGTAAAGTGGTCAGGGAGAAACATATCCTTCCATTACTTTCTTTTATTCCTGAACTCGTTGCACAAATGGAAAATACTTGGAAGTTTCGACTGCTTCAGGTTTGACATTATGAGCAAGTGACACTTTCTGTTATCCATGTTTTCCAACTTTTTAATGTTCCAAAAATGAATATAGAATCTAGAAAACCATATTGATCAGGTAAAGTACTCGCAGGGATTTACTCATGTATTCAAAGATTGCCACCCAGAGTCTTCGTTAAAATTGGCTTGCCTGCATGTTATTGAAGAAATACTTATTCCCGTAAGTTTGCTCAATTGTTTTTCTTTAGAAATTACTTAGGATACAAAATCACTCTCTTGATTTATTTCATCAACCATAGACAGCTGAGTCGTCATGCCTAGATGCAAGTTTTCCTGAGATAGTCGAGTACCGGGTGGCGTGGATTAGAGAGCTTCCTTTGTTGCTGATCCTTCTAGGTGATAAACATGCTTCCTGTTCTGAGGTAATGTTCCAATGCTGGTGCTAAAGGTTAACTTGAAAGTAAATATGTATCCTGTTGCTTATCCATATGTAATGCGTTAATTATGGCATTCTATAATTCATGATATGGCTTTATCAAATAAAAAAAAAATTCATGATATGGTTATCTGTAGTAAATTTTTTTATTTTTTTCTTAATTTTCATTTCTACTTCTAAGTTGCATTGCATTGTAGGTTGTACTGCGTCTTTTGCTTCATGTGGGACAATCATCTTTCTTAAACTCTTCCCTGAAATGGGAATATGACAACACCCAATACCCATTACAAGAGTATTATAGTATGGTGGATACTGCTGACGGTAAGTGTCGTTTATATTTAGTTCCTATATTTTGATGGTTGTTTATTTAGTCCCTGAACTGAACTTCTCATTTTGATTTTTATAAAACTACATTGTTTTATTATTTGGTGTGGCATGTTGATTGAACCAATGATTGATCATTTGGCATGATGTGATTACATGTTGCATAAGCGAGTAGGTCAATTTGACAAAATAAAGGTTGGTGGGCTAAAAAATTTCTTCGATTACCTGACATGTTTCTTTTTTTGTTGCCTACTTTTTAAAATACTTCTTTAAAACAAATGAATAATTTTAAAAAACTTGATTTTGTTTTTGAAATTTGGTTAAGAATTAAAATATGTTCATAAGAAGGTGAAAAACATACCAAAGAAATGGTGAGAAAGCTAGTTTTTAAAAATAGAAGTCTCCATTATATCACTAGTTTTTAAAAATAGAAGGTAAAATATAGAATATTATATTCGAAATATCATTATTTTATTTAGTTCGCCTACTTTTTGTTCCATGTCATGCCAAATAATTATTCTCATGTCACATTAAATTATTAGAATGAAAAAAATTAGGGATGTTATTTAAATTTATAAAGTTCGAGGCTAGATTAACACAACCATCATCAAGGAAGTTTGTTATTGAATCTAATTTTTCCATTATCAAAGGGTGAAATAAGCAACTCCGTCTTCATTTATCATTCTGTTGCAGGAAATAAATGCTATGGTCCTTTTACAAGGCTTCCCAAAGAATGTCAGGAGCTCTCAATTTGTTGTCTTTATTACTTCTCTTATTTGGATCCTCTTGTATTGAAGTCATTAGCTTCTTGCTGCCTATGTGAGTAATTATTTCTCATCGTACATTTTCCTGCTTTAACAAATTTTCTTTTTGTTTTGTTTTGTTTTCTTTTATGTTTTTAAGATCGTTTTATCACTTCTTGTTCATAGGCCCTGAGTTGCATCCAGATATAGTGTTTCGGATGATAGAGGTTCTTCATTCAGCCTATAAAGCTGGACACATGCAGATCGCTGACTACATTAGTTTCTGTGCCACTCTTCTCTCTTGTTTTAAAGTTTCCCCAGGTAACAATCCCAACTGATTAAGCTATGGTTTGGATTTCGTTTCAATTTAGCTTTTATGGTTTTAAAAGATTCAATTTGGTTGCCTCAAGGAATAGTCTAGTTGGCAAGAGCTTGGGGTCTATTGTTTATACTGGCTTAGAGGTTTTAGGTTCGAACTTTCTGGTGAGCTTAATACCAAAAATCCTTGATGGGGAGCAAAGCTCCGACTCACAATTATCGAAAAAAAAGATTAAGAAAAAGATTCAATTTGGTTCTTATGGTTTAGTTTAGTGTTTTTAATTTTAATTTTAATTTTTTTATTATTATTATTTTTTTGATATGAAACGAGTATTTCATTGATGGTATGAAATATATGAAAGGCCACAAGGGCAATTACAAAAACGCCTTCCAATTAATGATAAGTTCGTTAAGGGTGTAACTAGTGAAAAGGGTGGATAGAAACTTTTACATGGTTTTGTTAAATTCACAAATCTTCCTTTCCATTAACATATTGACAATTTTTTTATGTGGCAATCGACGGATTGTTATATGGGTTAGTTGCTTGCATTAGGGTTGAGTTAAAAATAGAAAGAAGTAGGCAAGCTTTGCAGATGGATAAAACACAATTTACAGACGATACGTGAGGTTTAAAGGTTTAGCTAAACTATAAGGACCAAATTGAAACTAAGCTCAAATTGAAATTTAAAGATTAAATTATGTTTTGTGATAATGTATGTGTGATAATGATCTAGTTTGTGTTGTGTGTTGGATGTTCTGAACAACAAGTGGCTTTATCTTTTGACAGGAAAGGGATGTGTTGATGCAGAAAGCAAGAAGAAGATTGAAACTTTCAAGTCGATCACCAAAGTGATATACTCATGCTTGTCACAAATTGGTGACATTTCTCTTGTTAAAAAGGCACTGGACAAAGTACTAACAGTTGATTAGAGTTGCACTGCTTCCCTTTTGTTGTAGGGTTGAGTGTATTATATTATTTTAGTCAATCATTTTATAAGGTGATTTTTTGCTTCCATTATTATAATTTAGGGCCTCTTTGGTATGCAATCTTTTCATTTTTTTTTTCATGTTTTCAGTGGATTCAGTGACTACTTTTTTGATCAATTTATTTTTGAAAAATAAATTTACGTTTTTAATGTTTTTAGATTCTGAATTTGAAATTTTAAAATGTAATAAAAACTTTGATAAGTATATTATATCATGTTATAAATTAATTTTATTGTTTTTTAAAATGTAATATATTATAAAATAATAATTCTACAAAATTTATAACATATGTTAATAAATCAATCAATTTTTAAATTTGCTACTCAACACATGTTTGAAAACATTGAGAACAATTCTTCTTTGTGAAACATGTAGCTAGTTTACTCTTTTTCTGGTCTGAAATTCAAAATACTATTTTAAATTTAGCAGCTTAAGTTGGCATTAGGATTATTAGTTATTTTTATGCTCAAGGATTACCAATTTCAACGTACCAAACATGATCTTATATCCATGGTTTAAGATGGGCTGGAATTCATCAACTTCAAGCTTTTATAGCGACTTTTTTAAAGTCTATTAACTGTGTTTGTTATCGTCAAAATAAGATCAATTGTTGAAAGCCCAAAAAAAAAAAAAACTCTCATCAAAGGAAAAGAGGCAAAATGTACTTTTGATTTTGAAGTTTCAGGTTTATTTTTTTGGTCTATAGAATTTCAAAATGAATACTTTTAATCTTCGTCAAAAAATATATATTTTGCCAAAAAAAAATGCAAAAAAAAGCAAAATGTTGTCTTTCAGAGTACAAATCTCTAGCTAATGTTACCTCAAAACTAATTTGATGAAAGATCTATTCAGTATTAAACGAAATTAAGATATTTTTGTTGTAAAGTTCATGCTTCTCATTTGTTGTTAATTATTTTCCATTTTTTTAGAAACAATTGATATGGTTCATCTAATTCTTGTTTATCATTAAAAAGAAAAAAAAAATTCTCAAAGTTGTTTATAAAATTTGAAAATAACAAGGTATAATTATTGTTTTTTATTCTTGTTTCTAATTTTTCAAACACAGAAGCATTATTTTATCATTCTTACATAATAGATATTGGAAAAATATAATATAAATCTTGTAATATTTTATCAAAAAACTAAAATTTCAGGTAAAATTTTTATTTTTTATTATTTATAACACATTTATATTTTTTTTCTACTCGTAAAGAAATAAAAAACAAGAAAAAAGAAATAGTTATCAACACGATAATGTTTTATTTCTCTCATGAAAAAGAGAAAATAAGACACCATAAGAGATATAAGAAACCGAAAATGAAAACATTACTAAATTGCCCCTAACTTGTCCATTATTACACCTCACTCTCACCCCAAACCGTGTTCTTGAGAGTAAGCTTTAGCTACGTGTTCATACATGTCCTTTCATTCTCAAGCTTGCAGCACAAATTTGGAGTCATTGAGGAGACAAAATGTTTGACCAAAAACATGATCAAGTCTTCAAGCTTCGGTTCGACATGGATGAGCTGGACTGCTAGCTTTAGAAGCCATGAAGAGGACCTGCAAAACAGAGTAGAAATTCTGATGCTAAAGTCAGCAAGTGTTCAAATCAATTCGAGAGAGAATTGATTGGATTGCGTACATTCAAATGAGGAAAATGATTCTATTTATAGGCGAACCTCCGATAATGTTCTCGACACAGCCTCAATGGCTCTTTAAGATTACCGTGAAACGTGGCGTACTGTCGTAGAGTTTGTCAGAGGCATGACCGAACTGAGGAAAGCCAACTGACTTATACATTCTTGCTAGAACGTAAGTCAAAGAAAACTTGATCGGCTTGGCCACTTAATGAGTTCGGCTCGACCGATGGTGCTGAGCCGAAGTCGCTATTCTTCGATTCTCATAAGCCACGTGTTGCAGATTGTGTATCCACCCAAGACTTGCCACGTGTATGCTTAAATCAACCCCAACATAAAAGATAGAGTTAAAAAAGAGATTTAAGTGCCAACTCGAGAATAGTTTAGTAAGATGTATCTACCATTTTCTAAAGGAGGTGGGTTTTAATCTCTTCACTTTCGTATTTGTACGTTGTAAAAAAAAGATAGTAATTAAAATCAACAGCTTGTTATTTTCTACCAAATCTTCTAAACTTTAGAAATGATTAAAAGGTTTGAATTTTATTTTGTCATCAACTTTTACGTTTATACACTTTTGAATATTCTTGTATCTAAACTTGGTATTAAAAACTATTTTAATCATCGCCCTTAATTTTTAACAAATTAATTACGGCATAGACACATCTTTTGTTTATTTATCAGCTAATTAATAGATGTCTACAAGTATTTGAAACATGTTATAGGTTAAATGTTAGGTTTTCAATTGCACTTAAATTCTTATTAAATGATGAATAAGAAAAATTAACGAGGGTTAGATAATCTTTTTTAATGTAAAATTTAGGATATTAAGATAAAATATTTAAATATACTCAATTGGTTGAGACATTTATAGATTTTTATAAAAATTAGATATTTGAATCATCTACTCCACTAAATGAAAAAAAAAATAATAATAAAAAAGACGAAACATTTAAAGACTACAACACAACATTTAAATATTTTCGGAACAAAACAAATATAAAAAGTTCAAACAAGATTTGATTAAACCTAAATCAAAACTTTTCATGAACAAAAAATGTTTGTTCAGTATATAATCTAGGTTTTAAATGTTGACGTCGATGAAAATATCGAAATTTTAATTTCATAGAAATGTCGATGAAATATTAATAAAATTATATCAATATTTATGAATATTTTCAAAAAGGTTATAAAAATAAAAAATTCATAACAAAAATGTCTAAATTAAATTTAAAGCATTCCATTGTTTCTAAATAAGTAAAAAATTATTAATGTTAATACTATATGTTCATATCATGGTATTACATATCTATCTACGTGTCGTCATTTCCTTCGACATTTCTATGTATCTATGGGTTTGACATCGATATAATGGGTAAATTGACATTTCCATCATATTACAACAAAATATGAAAAATATCAACAAAATTTCACTAATATACCCATAATATTAATATTAATCATTTTAAACTTATTTAAAAATTAAAAAAAAATGTTTATTTGTTAATTTATATATTTTTTACCATTTTTTGATGAAATTGAGATCTCAACGTTTCCATTGATATCGACATTTAAAATTTTGGTTCATATTAATGATATTCCGTAGATATATTTTTAATATTTTATCAATATTTTTACCATACAAAAAAATATCAATTTATCCCTCGTATATTCGACCACGAATCATTATATACATAAAAATATTAAAAGAAATGTCACTATGTCGGCGAATTAATATAGCTACACAGTGGAGTAGCAGATTCCCACCCACAATCACAAGTTTTGCCCATATAGGTAGCTACTTTTCACTCTGACGTCATCACAAAAAGCCGACATGACGTCACGACAGAGACGGCTTGTCGTCTACCTCATGGCGGATCAGTGCATTATTGATGGACGCTAATCTAATCTCCACGCGATCGTGTGAATCGTGTACTACACGCGCGCACGTGTGAGGCAAATTTACCGTCGTTTAACTTTTAAGTTTTATCATTCACCACACGCGCCCCGGCCGCGTCTGAGATCGACAAGATTTGTTTTCCCGTTGTCGTTCTGCAAGGCGATTGGCTTTACCAATTTTTCTGGGCATTATCTCTCAAAAAACATTATCTATTTTCATTTCATGTCCCAAATTTTCCGAGTCCCTTTACTTTCCCGGAAACCTCCAACTCACTTTCGCAGCCTCCAAACACTTTCCTCTCCCATAATTTTCTCCATTTAAATCAACCCTCAAAACAACAAACCACTTCATTCCCAACCTCAAAATTTTCTCTTCGTTGGAAATGGATCGAAATCTAATTGTGAGCGAGATGGAGCCGATGAAGAAAGAAACTCGAAAACGAAAATTGTCTGTTCAGAAGAACCAACCCTTAAAAGTTGTCTACATATCGAACCCTATGAGGGTCCACACTAGCGCGTCTGAATTTAGAGCCCTGGTCCAAGAACTCACTGGTCGAGATGCCGAGTTCCCTGACCCGGCTAAGTTTCATCAGGCCTCGATTGATGTTGGGGAAATGAATCTCGAGAAGAATCGGGAAGGTGATGATGATGAGGAAGCGTCCCTTGATGTGGCCACTACAATGGAGGATTCGAATGACGACTTTCTTGAGAGTCCATACGAGAGTTTTGAAGAGATGTTGATGAGGGAGATGCTGATGGAGAACTTTGCAGTCCCTTCTAGATCTGTTGAATCTTCTGGTTTAGTCATTGGAGCTTTGATGTGAGTAAAAAACTAAACTTCATGTTAGATATCATATCGTATCATGGCTGTTTATTACGAAGTTTATATGCCGATAAATGAAATGACGATATTTCCTTTATGCACTCTAATAATAGTCTATCCAAGTATCCAAGTGGGATAGAAATTTAGGTTTGCATTTTTAGTCTTTACACTTTACACTTTAGTTTCCATCTAGCATTTTTAAAAGTTACATTTGGATTCCATCACCATCATTAGTAAGAATTAGCAACAAAAAAAATCCAACGTAGGAAGTTATGCTTGTGGTTGTACACTCGATCCAGTTAGACATTATCCGATCCTATTACATTTTGAAATAACTTTAGCCATTTTTTTCTATTTTTCCATCCCAAATAATATATTAAAATCAAATTTTGAAATGCATGTTTTTTTAAATATTGTGACCACACCTTAAATTATTGAAATTATTTTAAATAATCCTAAATTCCTTGCTTTCTTGGACTTTGGTCACTTTTGCTAACTAACGAAAGGAACATCTTATAACATTTTAATCAAAGTTAGAGAGAGGCGATAAAATTTTTAAAAGTATAAAAATCAATTGAAATTAAAGTTAAAAATATTGTAAAAATATAAGAACTAAATATGTAATCTAACATATATATATATATTTTTTTTTTGTGATTCTTCATCTAATAATATAATAATATGTATATATGTATATAAAGTAATTCTCATATCCTCCACAATTTAAATAATACTTGCAAGAAATTTAACATCAAGCTCTTTGCTATTAAAATAAAACTCATCCAGTTATATTATTTGAGCATAGTTTAATTAGTTGATAGGACATTTCTTACAATCACAAAAGTTGAAAAAAGTTGCTAGTTCGATCTTCCAACCTCGACGAAACTCAAAAGGAAAAAAAACTCATATTATTTTCTGTTGAATTTAATTATTCACGGCATAAATTTATTAACTTGAACTATATTGGCAACTTTGATAGACACATTTATCCATATGAATTAAATCGTATGCAACCTCTCAATTCTAATTTTGTAACCCAAAGTAGCTAATAATAATGTAAAATAATCCACTCCAACAAAGTAATAACCCCCTTGTGTATGTACGGGGTACGTGGATAATATGCATCCTCCAGTATAAGAACATAATAAAGCTAAAGGACCGCTGACTCTTGGATACTAAAAAAAATAAAAATAAAATTTATATTAACAATATCGAATTATTCATATACAACAAAAAAGTCATGATATAATAATTGGAATATGTAGTTTCTAACCTTAATTACCTTTTTAATTAATAAATTTGATAAAAAAAATGGTGAAAAATGTTCATTCAAAACAAAACCTTTTATGCAAAACGAATGAGAGATAAAGTTGCCATACCAAAGATTTGATATAATAATTGGAGAAATCATTTTTCAAGAGATGATTCTTGATGTAACAAATCATAGTGTTTCATGAAATCAAACATCAATATTTTTCAGAATAAGTTTTAAATATTCTTTATTTTTTGTGAATTGATGTTGAAATTAGAATGTTTATAAACTATCCTTGGATTTTCTTTTAAAAGTTGGAAAATTCAATCTTGTTTTTTTCTTTTTTCTAATTATTTTTTTTCAGATATCCTTTTTTTTCCCTAATTAGAATCAACCCTCTCAGGATTTTTATTTAATTGTTATAACTCCGGCCTCCATGCACTAAAAAAAAAAGTTTAATCTTATTTTAGGTGCGAAAGTTATAGGTTTATTATATTTTCTAAATCTAGAAAATAAATAACTATTTGGTTGTTGATGTTATTACATTATAAATTCTATAACAAATATTTCAAATGTGTACAAACATTTTAATTAATGTATTGAAGTTATATTGGTGGGTTGAAGTAAGTATTTGGTGGGACAAATAATAAAAAAAACTAAAATAATTTCTTAAAATTTAGAAATGGTGAAACCTCGTATTCTTCATTTCTCTTTTAAAAATTTTCATTAATCTCATTCTCATTTTTTATTTGGTGCGTCCAATTCTTCCACTACATTCTTATTAATTATTTTACTATTTTTATTATTTCTCTTATTTATTGGTAGGAACCACAACTTTTTTTTAATTAATTATTTTACCATTTTAAAATTTCTTATTTATACTATCAATCTTTTGTCTTCTAATAAAAAAATTATACTAGTATCTTTTTAGTAAATGTGATTTTTTTTTCTAAAATTGAAGATTTCTATTTAATTGGTTAAATATATTTTAGTTAGTCATTGTTTATTATTTAATTTATTAAAATAAAAATGGTTATTAGATAACATATACAAATAAAATTAATCTATATTTTCTATAAACAACTTTTCTTCTAACAAAATCTATATATATAAACTTTTCTAGTTGATGTGATTTTGTTATAAAGTATTTCAAATTTCGGTTTAATTTATCAATTATTTAATTTTTCTTAGTTTTTAATAACTAACATGAATTAATAGTTAAAATACAATTCATTATTATTAAATATACCAATAAAATTTATAATATTTTATGATAATAATTGTGCTAATAAAAATCATATCAATAATTTTAAGTTGATGTAATTTTACTTAAATTAGGCATTATTTTTTAAGATCACATAAATGGTTCAAATAAAAAGTATTGCTCTAAACTAAAATAGCAATAAAGTAAATTAAGATTTATTATTGGTTATTGTTATTTTGACTAAAAATTATATTGACAATCTACTTAGCTAATGCATTTTTAATTAGCTAAGAATATGATGGTTGTATTCTAGTAATTATCATATGTATAATTTTTATTCTAATTGATTTTCATTCACAACTTTTTTATGGAAAAAATCTAGAATTAAGTGAAAAAACCACGGCCTACAAGGCAAAACACCATTTCAAAGTAAATAAGTTAACTAGAGCTGGTATACCAGACTTAAAAGTATTTTAATTGCGATAATTAAAATCCAAACCTCGCTCTTTTATAGTAGTTGGAATACATCTATTCTTTGTACTTTTCCTGGGACAACTTCTAGCACGTGAGACTATCTTTGGACAACTTTCATTCTAATATTTTGTCAAAACCCAACACTTTCATCATTTTAGTTCTAAAAAAACATAAACTTCTAAATACGATTTTCAACCTTGATTCTTTGTTTGGTTATCTATCCTTAAAATCAGTTTGAAATCTAAAAGGAAAATTATATAATTTTTTAAAATTTTTTGAATTTTGCTAATAATTAAAAAAAGAAGCCAAGAAATTGTGAGAAATTAGATTTATGAAATATGATTTTGAAAAGGAGAAAAATCAAAACAAAATTATAGACTACCGCAAGAATTTTATTTTTCCTAAAAAAATCTCCAACACTCCATAAGAAGAAACGTTTGTGGACCATTCATTCCATTGTATCAAAGTCAATGACAACTACAACATTGGGAGAGACTGCCCACTTGGATATTATATAGCATCAAATTAATTTATAAGGTTTAATTATACAAAATATCTCTTTAATGATAGCGTAGGTTTTAATAATATCTCTAAATTTTTAAAAGTTTCATTTTTGCTATTAAACTTTAAATTTGTTTTTCATCTACCTTGTCATTAATTTTTCAGTTTAAATGAAACAGTGACTTATATAAAATAAAAAATATTACTCTAGGTTCTATTTATGTCCTTGAACTTTACGTTATGTTTCAATTACAGTCTCATCATTAAAAAAGTTTCAATTTAACCATTAATGAATAAAATTGAAGATGAAAATATGATGTGGTGGCAAGTGGTAGAAAACAAAAATATAAAAGAGCCTTGGTAACATTGAAATTATATAATTTTGGGGACAGTAGAATGAACTTAGGATATTACCATACAATATTGTTTCCACCCCTCATGATGAAAATATGGGGAAACAAAAATATTTTTGAGGGGTATGTTAACAAGAAATAAGCACAAGAGACAACAAATACGTGAGGAACGAAATGATTTTTATGGCTTTGAATTGAGAATACTTTAGCCTATAATTTAAATAGCAAATACATAATAGAATCATGTAAAAATAGGACTCCACAGCCAACAAAATCCTGGACTAAGCTCCTAGACTAAGACCATATCGACCGAAAACAAGAGCATTAATGAATAAATACTAAAAATAGTTATTAGGCTAACAATCCCTTCCCTAAATTTAACGCTACAATACTTTAGTTAACAACATCAATGTCCTTCAAAGTGCAGAGACCCATCAACCTTCTCAAATTTTGGAAAGTTAAAGTCTTGAGAGGTTTCGTAAGTATGTATGCTAGTTGTTCCTCGCTCCTATAGTACTTCAGATCAATGGTGTCGTTTGATAACTCTTCATAAGAGAGTTATTTTTAGAGGAAAAATACCTTCGGTAGATAAAAAATTCTGCAAAGCAGTTCAAATTACCAATGTTATAGGCTAAATAGGTAAACATTCAAAGAGAAGCTTAATTTGAAATTAATAATGCTGTGATTTTTATGAATTGTTTCTAACTTTAAATGTTAAGTTGATGCTGGAGTATTGGAGCCATAAAGACAAAAGAAAGAGAGCTAAAAGCAACAGTTGGCCTACCCAAGAGTTACAGTAGTAAAAACGGAAAAGCACCTAAAATTTGAGTTGGATCCCACTTTATTCATTATGTTGCCCTAAACTGAAGTGGAGGTATAAAAACTTGCATTGAAGGCTGCCTCTATATGATTCATTCCACATCAATCCCTGGGAGAAGATAAGACAAAGAGATAGAGAGAGATTCAAATTTGGAGAACCCAAAGAAGGAGCAGTTGGCATTGGAATCTCTACTGTTTTCTTTCTATTCTTTCTTTTTTTAGTATTCCTCAATTGATGGGCTTTGTATTTCTCTGTCTTTCCCTTTTCGTTATGACATTGAGTTAGCTAAAATCCTCAAGGAGGATTGTGAATTCTTACTGTGAACATGCTGGTATATAAAGTTGTTGCTGCTTTATTAAAGATTGTGTACATTTTTCTAAGTTCAATGTGCCTGACCACTATGTTGAATGAACTTTTGATTACTTTTGGGAGATTGTAATACGGAGAGTTTAACTTGTGTTAGGTCTAGGAATAAGACTCACCTAACCTAACTAAAAATTGAGCTAAATAGGTGTTGGTCTAAGCAATGTTTGGAATATCATTAAAGATC